CTTTTAGCAGTCAAGGCAAGGGGCCACAAAAAAAGATTTTCTACAGTGAATCATGACCACGCCTAACAGTGACTTTGAAGTCTCCAAAAAGATGATGCAATAGCAAAATGATGAATCCACATGGACTATGATAATGCCACCAAGCTGACAAAAACCACCCAAAGATCAGCTTTGGACTACAAACTGCTCAGGACAATATCGAGATGGCCAGCTAAGATGATACAGACTCACAGACTACTCCAGTCAGAACTTGACCATAATCCTAAATTTTCTTTGTGTCCCCATAAGACTACAAGCACCCCCAATCATCAGAAAGTAGTCTAGAAAACTACTCCCACATTCCCCCAAAAAATGGGTTATGGATGTTTGTCTTTGTTTAGGGGTTGGTTAAAAATTGTTATTGGTCATAGTCAATCTCTTTATAAAAATAAGAAAGAGGGATATGATATAGAAATGTATTAAATAGAAATGATATGATAAAAGGGTAGATTATTGAATCTACTCTGAAAAAAAAGACATAGAAATAATAGGATAAAAGGGTAGACTACTGAATCTACTCTGAAAAGAAAAAAGGGAGAATATGGATATGATAAGATAAAAGGGTAGATTATTGAATTTACTTTTAGAAAGCAACTACTGGTTTTAAATATTTTACATTGGATTGGATTTTTGTATATTGATACAAATTTGAAATTAATTTTGTTAGAATATACTGTACCTACACTTCTAATCTTGTTCAAGCAATTGTGTCTATACAGTTCATTTAACAGTGTAATGCAAGCCGGGTGGTGGTGGCGCACGCCTTTAAACCCAGCACTCGGGAGGCAGAGCCAGGCGGATCTCTGTGAGTTCGAGACCAGCCTGGGCTACCAAGTGAATTCCAGGAAAGGCGCAAAGCTACACAGAGAAACCCTGTCTCGAAAAACCAAAAAAAAAAAAAAAAAAAAAACAAAACAACAGTGTAATGCAAATTGCTAGTCCTTGAAAGTTATTATTACCAACTAATTAGGATATAAAGAAATGAAAGTTAGTAGTTGGTTAATACAATCAAACTTGTACTTATATTAGGTATGTTTTCAATGTCAAACAAATATATTTTAGGTAGGTCATCTTCAAACACTTCTTAGATCTACAGAATATGGCATTAAAAATGTTTTAATAGCATAGGTTCCTTTTTTTTATGAACATGAGACATGTCTGCTCCTGGCAACACCAATCTGCTTCAGAGAAGATGATGGGCATTGAAGAAACTCCATATGGAGTTTACTTTCTTTATGGCCAAAGTTAGCCAGTAAGAAAGAAAATGCCCTTGCCTCGACTGCTGTCAGCATGTTGTCCAAATGGACAAGCAGGACACAAAAGAAAGGACTGCTGAACCTTGCCAAGACAAGGTAGGACAGCCCTTCAGAAAATCCTGATTCACAGATGAGTCTGTCAGATATGCTTGGTCTGTATGTCAAAGATGGATGTCCCAATGTTGCAGATGAACCTTGGGTGGCTGTCCAGGCAGCCAGCTGTTTCTGTCATTTCTCACAGTTTTTGGAAGTCACTTGATTGCACTTCCTGCTTACTCAGTTAATATTAATTTTTTTCTTGGGTCTCTGAGGAAGTTGAAGATTAGATAGTTATAGTTATATGTAGATGAATTTCTAAACAATCTTATTAAATAAGAAACACAGAGCCAAATACTGGGGTGAAGGCCTTAGAGATCAGAGAAATAGGAATAGCCACCAGTTAACCTTAGCTCACCATACTGCCATAGCTTCCCAAAAATACCAGCTTCTTCCTGTCTAACCTGTGCCTTTATTGCCTTGCGGATCTGGCTTCTCATTGACTATTAGCCCAGCCACCTCACTTCCTCATCACTGCCTGTCTGTACAGACCTCCAGGTCTGTATGATTGGTTCTGGGATTAAAGGCTTGTGTCACCAGACTTGGCTGTATCCTTGAACACACAGAGACTCTGCCTGCCATGTGATTGGATTAAGGGCGTGTGCTACCACCGCCTGACTTTTGTTTATGGCTGGCTATCTATGTCCTCTGATCTCCAGGCAAACTTTATTTATTAACATACAAATAAAATGTCACCACGTTTCAGCACAAATAAAATATCACCACAAGTATAGTTTTCCTTGTTAACAAATTCAGAAAAGAAACTCACTAAAGAGGTGTAAAGTATATAAGTTTGAAAGACATCAAAAGATAGTTTTGGCTTGGTAATACAAGTTAGGATAGAGAGTGAATTAGGTACAGCATTTTGGACTCACCAAAATAGGATAGATAACAGAGTATTTTCTCTGAATTTGTCAAATGTTTATAGACTGGAATGTGGTGACATATTGTGTACACTAATAAAATTTGCCAGAAGACCAGAGAACAGAACAAGCTGCTAGATTAAACATAGATGTGAGGCAGTGGTGGTACACACCTTTAATCCTAGCACTCAGGAGGCTGAGATCCATCTGGATCTCTGTGGACCTCTGTGAGTTCAAAGCCACCCTAGACTACATGAGATTGACTCAGCCTAGGAGAGCAACAGCCAGGCAGTGGTGGCACACACCTTTAATCCCAGTACTTGGGAATCACACACCTTTAATCCCAGCACTAGGAAGGAAATAATATGGCTGGGCAGCAAAAGGTATGTAAGGCAGGAGGAGACAAGAACTAAAGCCATTTTGGCTAGAGGCTTCTCAACTGAGGACTTTTCATTTGAGGACTTAGAGGCATTCAGTCAGAGGATTCATGGAGTTGGGGAGGTGAGAAGAGGCTGTGGCTTGTTCCTTTGTCTCTCTGTTCTTTCAATATTTACTCCAATATCTGGCTCTGGGTTTTTATTCAAACCAATTAGGATTCATGCAACATAAAGGTCTTGGGGGGATTAGGAATATAAGAAACAAACCTAAACAGAATAAAAGCAATATATAGGAAGCTCCTAGCCAACATCAAATTAAATAGAGATAAACTCAAAGTGATTCCACTAAAATCAGGAATATCTATGCCCCAAATATGTGGGCACTCACATTTGTAAAAGAAACATTACTAAAGGTTGAACCACATCAAACCCCAGACATTAACAGTGGGATACTTCAACATCTCCCTCTCATCCATGGACAAGTCTGCCAGACAGATACTTAAGAGAAAAACAAGGGCACTGACAGATGTGATGACTCAAATGGACTTAATTGATATCTATAGAACATTTCACCCAAACACAAAAGAATATACCTTCTTCTCAGCACCTCTTGGAACCTTCTCTAAAACTGGCCACATACTTGGTCACAAAGAAAACCTTAAGAGATACAAAAAAATGGAATGACTCCTTGTATCTTATCAGATCACCTCTGTGCCCAGCTTACATCCCTTAGGTATCAACATGGCCCAACCCTTCTAGGCAACAACATGCTCCTCTGTTCGCTGTGGCTGCACTCCCATACCTGTTGCCACCACTGCATCTCTAGCTCAGCTCCTCTCCACTGTGTGTCCTGCCTCACTCATTCTGCCAATCTTTTTTTTTCCAGTTCCAGGAAACTGCTTTGTAAAAGCATCTTCCCACAAGTCCTCCCTTTTTTAAGTTGTTCCAGAGATATCGTATGCTCTGCAGACTCAGCCTCTGCTGCTGTGTCTCCCTTGAAGTCTGTGTGAGTCTCTCAGGCTTCTCAGGGCTGCCTATAGCCCTGTGGGTGTCATTTGGCTACCACCACCTTGAATCAAGTTCTGACCAGTAAATGTTAAAGGACAAAGTTAATTAATTGAAATAGTAAAAAAATAATAATAATGACACCTGTATTAGTCAGTGCTCTATAGAATGAACACATATGAACACACACACACATACACACACACACACACATGCACACGCACACACACACACATACACACATGGATCTTAATTAAAGTGGTCTAGGTATTTCAACAATTTGGTATATATGTCTCAGCAGTCCCATTCTGGTGCTGGAATCCCAGGAAATTTCTAGAGAGCCACTTGTCTTCAGTCTACATTTTAATGCTGAAGAAGTAGTTCTAACACCAGTGAAGGAATGCTTCAACATGACAGATGAATTTGCTAGTGAGAGTGAAGGCAAGCAGGCAAAAAGCAAAAGCTTCCTTCTTCAATGTCCTTTATGTGGGCTGTCACCAGATGGTGTGGCCCAGATTTAGGGTGGATCTTCCTACCTCAAATGATGCAAGCAAGAAAATCCTTCACAGACAACAGGCATGCCCAGCTTCTTGAGGGTTTTTTTGCATATGCATAACACTTTTAATATTGATTTATATTTCACATATATCAATGCTAAATAACTAAAACAGGCATGGTGATGAGTGTGACACAGATGTGGACTAAAGCAGCTTCTTGAGTTTTAATTGATTTCAGATGTAGTTGAGCTGACAACCAGGATTAGCCACACAACACATCTAAAATGCTTAAAATGTACAGGGTGTTGCTGATTTGATATTATCTATGTTGGTTTGCAAAGTAACAGGAAACATAATGCTAAATTTCAGCACACTAAATTGGATGTAAACATTTTAAAAGTAATTACTAAAATGACAACCACAAGTAAGTCTCCATATAGATATGAAACTTCTGACTAATCTATCTAATGGTGACTAATGACATGGTGAAAATTCTGTGAAGCAAACACACAGCAACTGTGTTACAACTGTGCCTTTTGAGTTTATCAAAGAGTCTAATAAAACAATTTTTAAAACTACACATTTTCACTGAAATTCATGGAAAAGCTTTAAACACTTTATCTACTAGATACAACCTTTTGAGTAAATAAGATTACCTGGTAAATTTCATCTTGAATACTTAAGAAATAATATAATCATACAAGGCAGTATACTTGAAGAATATATGAGAAATTAAAATCAAGGTAAAGAGCCAATGACAGTTAATGTTCTAATCTTTTCAAAGGTTTGTATGAATTCCAACAAAAAACAAATTCAGAAACAAAATTAGAATCTTACATTTTCTATTTATACACTTCCATCACTTACATTTCATTTGCTCCTGAGAATAAATTTGATTTAGACTGGAAGATGCTTCATACTTCATGGTTTTAAGCTGGATTCTCGTTATCCTGCTCAGACTGGCTGCCAAGTCTTGTGCTCCAAAGGATCCTTCTACCTTTGCCTCCAAAGTAAATGGAATCACAAGCACTCAGCACTATATCCAACTGAACCTGAATTTTAGCTAGAAGGTACACACAAAGATGTTAAAAAATGAAGCTCAGCATCAAGTAACTTTTAAGTAATAAAATGAAGTATGATGTTGGGGCCTTCTGACGCTCCAGAGGTTTCCACACTATATGCTGGTCTCTAGGCCTTTTTAGCTACAGAAATAGACATACACTGTTAGGTCTAAATCAGGAGTGACTTATAAATCAGTTAAATCTGTGATGAGCTGTATCAGAACCAGGCAACTTCTAAAGTCGGTCAAATTTACCTATCTGAAGAAAAGACTGAGAAGAGTGAGCAGAGAAATTAGAGAACCCTCATGTGAAATCTCCAGCAGCCTCCTGCCAGTATCAAGAAAGCAACGACACAAGTACCAACAGTAATAAAGGACTCTCATTCTAAGCTGAATTTGGAAGAGGAATGGCAATGTCAATAGGCTTAAAATGATTCATTTGAATAACTTGATAGAAAAAGAAAACGAATTTATTTTAAAACCTAGCAAGACAGTATATCTTTGTTGATTTCTTTTACTTACTCATAATTATACATCTTAGAATCCTTCAAAAAAACATACAGACATGAGTCATGACTTAATGATGAGGATGTATTCTGAGACAGACCTCATGAAGCTATTTCATCATGTGGTTGGTATACTTACATGAATCTAGATGTTATGGCCTATTATGCACCTAAGCTATACAGTATTACTTATTGCTCTTGGGCTATAAACTTATATAGCACATTACTTTACTGATTAACTATAATACAATAGTAGGTGGTTATAAATGTATTTAAATCTAAATATACATGCATATATGTATATATATATATATATATATATATATATATAAATGCAGAGTAGAAGTATGGTATGTGTCTTAATTAGGGTTTCTATAGTGCTATGAAAAGACACCATGAGCATGGCAACTCTTATAAAGGAAAACATTTAATTGGGGTGACTTGCTTACAGTTCAGAGGTTTAGTCCATTATCAATATGGTGGGAAGAAAGGCAGCATGTAGGCAGACATGGTTCTGGAGCTGAGAGTCTTTACATTTTGGTCCAAAGGCAACAGGAAGTGAACTGTAACACTGGGCATGGCTTGAGCATATATAAGACCTCAAAGCTTGCCTCCATAGTGGCACACTTCCTCCAATAAAGCCACACCTTGCAACAGCACCACTCCCTCTAGGGGTCATTTTCTTTCAAACTATCACAGTATGAAAGACTTCTTTTAGGCCCTAACTCCAGTGGAAGCACCCTGTTCAACCACACAGGGTTGGCCACACAGACCACCAGAACTCTAGTTAGGCTACAAGCCTACAGACCCCCCCCCCCAACACACACACACCATCAGTGCTCTGCCCCCTGCCTCTAATTTTCCAATATGTCCTCATCACTGTGTTCTGTTTTCTCTCAGATATCAGTATTTTACATTTGTATACAACATATAGATTTCAAACTAGTAGCCAATATACTTTCCAATTTGATGATTGAGTTATATGTATGTGTGAATGTCTGTAAATGTGAGTGTGTGCATGCATGTGTGTGAATGGGTATGTATGTGCATGCAGATCTGAGAGTAAGATTTATAGATTGATCACAGTCTGTATTATTTAGCATCCCTGACACAACAATATAAGTAAACCATGGGCTAAATATGGAACTGTCACAACTAAGATCTATACATTTCACTGTAGAAAAATTTAATTGTCATTTTAAAAACCACCTCTTGTAGATTTACCAGTTCTTTATTCTTACTGAAAATTTGACATAGAAGAATATGAAATCAAAATTTACAAATACTACTTTTTACTTGTTTTCATTGCCTACTTTTAAAGGATGACTTGATTCCCTTTTAATTTGTGTCATTTTGAAATAATATGTTGAGACATTTACTCATAAAATAGCAATTACTGAAATTATTTCCATGGATTTCATGGAGAGATCCAGAAATAGACAGTCCCTGGTGAAGTAGCACTTAATACCTGAATCCTTCTTTTTTGTTCTTTATTCCTTTTTGGTTCCCTGTTACCAAAATGCATTTTCAAGTTGCTGAGGAGAGTTGGTGGGATTAGGGATAGGTTGGAGTGAACCAAGAGTGAGGGTTGAGGAAAGGGCTGCAGGTGGGCAGCATACCTGGAGTCCCAGTGGCCTGTGTAGCCTCTGGTCATATAGAGTGCCTCTGAAAGAGTTGGGGGCCAGAACACAGAAGAGCAGTCCCAGCTTGGGCAGGGAACTCCTGCTCAACCACAGACCACACAGGCCAGAAGACCAGAGAGGGAACAGAAACCAAGGAACAAAATGTCCTTTCAACAAAGACAAACTCAGAAATCAGCAACCAGACTTATAATTATCCCCAAACCCAGATGCCTAGAGGCCAGCATGAGAACACAATAAACAATATGTCACCACCAAAGCCTAACTGTGCTACTACAGCAAGCCCTAGACAGTCTAGCACAGTTGAAGTACAAGAAAATGGCCTTAAAACTAGCTTTATGAAGACGATAGAAGTCCGTAAAGAGGAAGTGAATAAAGCCCTTAAGAAAGCCCTGATAAAACAAACTGTTGAAAAAAAATGAATAATAATATTCAAGACTTGCAAATGGAAATAGAAGCAATAATGAAAACACAAATGGAGGAAATTCTGGAAGTGGAAAATCTGGGTAAGTGAACAGGAACTAGAGACACAAGCATCACCAACAGAATACAAGTGACAACAGAAAAAAATCTCAAGAATTGACAATATGGTGGAAGAAATAGATACATCTGTCAGAAAAAATATTAAATCTGAACAGTTTCTGACACAAAATATCCAAGAACAGATCAAACCTAGCAATAATGGGAATAGAAGAACAATCTCAGCTCAAAGGCCCAGAAAATATTTTCAACAAAATCATAGACAAAAATTTTCCTAACCTAAAGAAGGAGATGACTGTATAAATATAAAAAAAACATACAGAACACCAAATAGATTGGACCAGCAAAGAAAGTCCCCTCACCACATAAAAATCAAAACACTAAACACACAGAACAAAGAAAGACTATTAAAAGTTGCAAGGAGAAAAGATCCATAACATATAAAAGCAGACTTATTAGAATTACATCCTACTTCTCAATGAAGATTCTAAGAGCCAGAAGGGCCCAGAGAAATGTCCTGTAGACTCGACTCTAAGAGACCACAGAACCCAGCCCAGGCTACTGTATTTAGCAAAATTTTCAATCAACATAGATGGACAAAACAAGATATTCCACAATAAAGTCAAATTTAAACAATATCTATCCAAAAATCCAGCCCTACAGAAGGTACCAAAAGGAAAACTTCAACCTAAGGAGGTTAACTATATCCATGAAAATACAGAAAGTAATCTCACACAAGTGTAGCCAGAAGTTTCTCTGGCCCCACCCGGCCCCATGGTCCCACAATTGCTTTTAAAATAATCATTCAGAGGCTTATATTAATTACCAATTGTATGGCGTATGGCAGGGTTCTTGCTAGCTAACGCTTATAATTTAACCAATTTCTATTAATCTATAAGTTACCATGTTGCTGTGGCATTACTGGTCTGATGGCATCTTGCTCCTCCTTTGGCAGTGGCTGGCATCTCTCCAGACTCTGCCCTTCTTCTATCTGTCCCTCCACTTGGATTTCCCTCCTAGCTGTAAGCTTCTTGCCATTGGCCAAAACAGCTTTATGTACTAACCAATGGAAACAGTATATATTCACAGCATACAGAAAGACATCCCACAGCACTTCCCATTTTCTGTCTAATCAAAAAGGAAGGTTTTAATTTTAATATAGTAAAATTATATAGAAGAAAGCAGTTATCAAGCAAGAATTACAGTTACAATATCTAGTTTATTTATATTTGGAAAAATTAGAAAATATTCTACCATCTATCCTATTTTGTGTGTCTAAAATGTTACATCTAATTTATCTTTTATCATGACTAAGGAAAGCTGTAATTATACCTATCTAGTCTTCAACTCCATCAAAGATCCCAGAAGGATATAATATTACCTAGGTAAACAGGAAGTGCATTGTAAGCAACTTCCAAAAATCTAGAATGACAGAGACATCTGGCTGTCTGGACAGTCACCCAAAATTGCTCTGTAATTTCAGGGCATCCATCTTCAGCCTATAGGTCTAGAGTCTCTCCCTGTGTCTTGTAGAATGTCCAGTAGTCTTCTGTGCAAAGCAGGAAACTGAAGGACCATTTCACTTCGTTTTGGCAAAATTTAGTGGTCATTTTCCTATGGGTCCTATATGTACAGCTTTTACAACATATTGTCAAGCAATCCAGGCCTGAGCAGTTTCTTGCCCAAATGGCCAGTTTTGCCAAGAAGAGATAAACTCCATACAGAGTGTCTTTGATGCCCATCTTCCTCTTTGAAGTAAATCAGTACTGCCAGGAGCAGATGTGTCTCACTGTCCAGAAAGTCTAAGTTTTTAAAACATTTTAAATGATGTATTCTGTAAGCCTTTGAAGTGTTTGAAGATTACCTACCTTAACTAACTTAACTAACATGACTATAAGTTTGATTATCATAGATGATTAACTATTCATCTGTATTTCTTAATGATACATTACAATTTAAATGAGTTACATAAACATAATACCTTAAACAAGTAAAAATATACATACCATATAACAAAATTAACTTTAAATTTGTATCAATAAACTAAAATCCATAGCAATGTAAAATATTTCAAACAAATTGTTGCTCTTTAAAAGTAGATTCAATAATCTACCCTTTCATTCTATCATATCTATATTCTACATTTCTATATCATATCCCCCTTTCTTCTTTTAGAAAGATATTGACTATGACCAATAACAATGTGTAACCAACAACCTAAACAAAGACAAATATCCATAATCCATTTTTTGAGAATGTGGGCATAGTGTTCTAGGCCACTTCCTGCTGACTACGGACTCTAGCAATCTTATGGTGATCCTGAGAAAACTCAAGATAGTCAAGTCCTGGGAAGACCGGCTATAATCATTGTTGATAGGTACCATCTGTTAAGGTTCAGGAGATCTCACTTGATCAAACTTGATCCATCTTAACCTAGAACAAATCCATAGCCTCTTACTTCCTGTGGAAACAAAAGCAGAGCCTCCTTTCCAAAGCAACATAAACTCAGATTCAAGTTTTGAAGTCAAGATATTTTTAAATATATATATCACTTATATATAACTTAGCAGCCTTTAGAATCAAATGTCTTCTGTAGTTAAAAATCCCAAAGATAATATAACCCAGACTCTCTGTGTAATATCCATCTTTACATGGCTTGTTTTTTATATATTATTTTTTGTTTTTAAGATTTTATTTATTTGTATGACTATATCCTTTCTCTTTTCTCTCTGAAGCCTATGTATCTTTTATAGATATTGTAAACCATTTAGCGGCTTATTCCATCTGAAACTGTCCTTCATGCATCTATAATCCTTTTCTGATCATTGCTTTAAATTCCAATGTGGTTAGGACTGAAGTGGTGGCTTTGGCTGCTGACTCTGCCCATCTTAGCTTTTCAACATGGCACATGTCCCCAGTCATGCTTACCTCCCCAATTTTGAGAAGCAGTATTAAGCAGTATGACTGTGTTTTTAAGTCCATGGCTGTGCTCCCAAGCCCACAGGTAGTGACTGAGTGAAGCCTCTTTGTATCACAGCCTGGCCCATCAGACCACAGGAGAGGAGTCCTCCATGTTGCCACTGAACCACATTGTGGCCAGGGGATGCATCTCTGTACTGCAGCCTGCCATAGGAGACATGAATTAGGAAGCTTCTCTTGGCTCCATTTTAGAACCCTTTTTTAAAGCTTTCTCAGATTTTTGGGTGGAAGTTCTTGATATCACATTGGGTGCCAAAATGTAGCCAGAAGTTTCTCTGGTCCCACCTGGTCCTGTGGTCCCCCAGCTGCTTATAAAATAATCATTCAGAGGCTTATATTAATTACCAATTGTAAGGCCTATGGCAGGCTTCTTGCTAGTTACCTCTTATAATTTAACCCATTTATATTAATCTATAAGTTGCCACATAGCAGTGGTATTACTGGTCTGCTAGCATCTTGCTGCTCCTTTGGCAATGGCTGACATCCCTCCAGACTCCACCCTTCTTTTCTCTGTCCCTCCACATGGATTTCCCACCTGGCTATAAGTTTTCTTGCCATAGGCCAAAGCAGCTTTATTTGCTAACTATTGTAAAATAGTATATATTCACAGCATGCAGAAAGACATTCCACAGCACACAAGCAAAGTCACAGACTAACAGATTGAATGCAAAAACAGGATCCATGCTTCTCCTGCATAGAAGAAATACACTTCACCATCAAAGATAGGCATTCTCTCAGAGCAAAGGGTTGGAAAAAGATTTTCCAAGCAAATGGGCCTAAGAAACAAGCTGTCGTAGTCATTCTAATATCTAACAAAATAGATTTCAAACCAAAATTATTCAAAAGAGATGTGGAAGGATACTTCATACTCATCAAAGGGAAACTCCACCAAGATAACATTTTAATTCTTAACATCTATGCCCCAAATGTAAGGGCACCCAGGTTTGTAAAAGAAACATTACTGAATCTTAAGTTACACATTGAACCTCACACATAAATAGTGGGAGACTTCAATCCCCCACTCTCACCAAATGGACAGGTCATCCAGTCAAAAAATATACAAAGAAATACAGGAGCTAACATATGTTATACAGCAAATGGATCTAACAGATATTTACAAAACATTTCACCCAAACACAAAAGAGTATACCTTCTTCACAGCACCTCATGGGACTTTCTCTAAAGTTGACCACATACTAAATCACAAAGCAAGTGTCAGTAGATACAAGAAAACTGAAATAATTGCCTAAACTCTATCAGACCACAGATTAAAGCTGGAGTTTAACAATAATAGAAACCAGGAAGCTTGCAAACTCATGGAAACTGAACAACTTTTTACTGAATGACTTCTAGTTCAAGGCAGAAATAAGAAAGATATTAAAGACTTCCTAGAATTCAATGAAAATGAATGTACAACATGCCCAAACTCACGAGACAAAATCAAAGTGGTGCCAAAAGTAAAGTTAATAGCACTAAGCGCCTATATAAAATAAAAGTTTGGAGATATCTAATACTAGCAACTTAACAGAACACCTAAAAGCTCTAGGACAAAAAGAAGTGAGCACACATAAGGGGAGTAGACAGGAGAAAATAATCAAACTGGGGAGTGAAATCAATAAAATAGAAACAAAGAGAATCAAAGAAATCAAATACAAAGAATTGAAGAAACACGGAGTTGGTTCTTTGAGAAAATCAATAAGATAGACAAACCCTCATACAAACTAACATAAAAGACAGAGAATATCCAATGAACAAAATCAGAAACAAAAGGGGGTATATAACAAAAGATATCAATAAAATCCAAAGAATCATTAGGTCATACCTTAAAAACCTGTGCTCCACCTAAAAGAAATGGATAATTTTCTTGATAGATACTGCCCTTCCAAAATTAAATCAAGAGCAGATAAACAAATTAAATAAACATATAACCCCTAGTGAAACAGAAGCAGTCATTTAAAGTCTCCCAACCAAAATAATCCTAGGGCCAAACAATTTTAACACAGAATTTTATGAGATTTTCAAAAAAGAGTTAACACTGATACTCCTCAAATAGTTCCACAAAATAGAAATGGAAGGAGCATTGTTGAATTTATTTTATCAGGTCATAGTCACCCTGATACCCAAATAACACAGATATTCAACAAAGAAAGATAACTACAATTTCCCTTATGAACATACATGCAAAAATACTCAAAATAAATACTTAGAAACTGAATGCAAGAACACAACAAAAAGATCATCCACCATAATCAAGTAGGCTTCATCTCAGAGATTCAAGGATGGTTCAACATATTAAAATGAATCAATGTAATCCACCATATAAACAAGGTGAATGAAAAAAAAAAAACACATGATCATCTCATTAGGGGATGAAAAAGCATTTGATACCATCCAACACCCCTTCATGATAGAAGTCTTGGATAGATTAGTGATACAAGGAACATATCTAACCATATTAAAAGCAATTTACAGCAAGCCTACAGCCAACATCAAATGAAATTTAGAGAAACTCAAAGCAATTCTACTAAAATCAGGAACAAGAAAAGGCTGTCCACTTTCTGCAAATCTATTCAATATAGTACGTGAAGTTCTAGCTACAGCAATAACCAGAAGATCATGGGGATAAAAATCAGAAAGGAAGAAGTCAAGTATCACTATTCACTGATAAGATAGTATACAAATGCAAGCTGGAAAATTCTACCAAGATTGGTGAACAATTGGTTCCTACAATTGGTGAACATCTTCAATGAAGTGATTAGATACAAACTTAACTCTAAGAAATCAGTAGCCCTCCTATATAAAAATGACAAATGGACTGGAAAAGAAATCAGGGAAACAACATCCTACACAATACCCACAAATGATATAAAATATTTTGGTGTAACTCTAACTAAGCAAGTGAAAAGACCTGCAGTGTTTAAAAACTTCAAGTCATTGAAGAAAGAAATTGGAGATATCAGAAGGTGGAATGATCTCTCATGCTTGTGGATCAATAAAATTAACATAATAAAATTGGTCACCCTACCAAATCAATGTACAGATTCAATGAAATCCCAGTCAAAAATCCCACACAACTCTTTTTCCAACCTTGAAAGAACAATAGACTCAAATTCTTATGGAAAACAAGAAAACCAAGGATAGCCAAAGAAGTCCTGAACAATGAAAGAACTGTTGGAGGTATCATCATCACTAATTTTAAGCTGTCCTACAGATCTATACTAATAAAAACCACATAGTATTAGCATAAAAACAGACATGCTGGCCAATGGAATGAATTGAAGACAGAGAGAAAAATCTACATACCTATGGACACCTTTTTTTTTTAAATAAAAACCCAGAAATATATAATGGAAAAAAGAAAATGGTGCTGGTCTAACTGAATGTAAATGGATCCATATTTATCACCCTGCACAAAAGTCAAATCCAAGTAGATCAAAGACCTCAACATAAAACTAGATACACTGAACCTGATAGAAGGGAAATTGGGGAATAGTCTTGAATGCATTCGCACAGGAGAAAGCATCCTGAATAAAAACCACTGTTAGTACTGGTGCTAAGATCAACAATCAATAAATGGGATATCATGAAACTGAGAAGCTTCCGTAAGGCAAAGGACACTGTCAATATGACAAAATAGCAGTCTACAGAATGAGAAAAGATTTTCACCAACTCTACATCTGACAGAGGACTGATTTCCAAAATATATGAAGAACTCAAGAAATTAGATATCAACAAATCAAATAAGCCAATTAAAAATGGAGTACAGCTCTAAACAGAGAATGCTCAATAGAGGAATCTCAAATGGCTAAGAAACACTTAAAGAAATGTGCAAAATCCTTAGCCATGAGGGAAATGCAAATCAAAACTACTTTGATATTCCATCTTACACCTTTCAGAATGGCTGTGATCAACAACACAGTTGACAGCTCATGGAGGTGAGGATATGGAGCAAGGGGAACACTTGTCTATTGCTGGTGGGAGTACAAACTTGAATAACAACTATGGAAATCAATATGGTTCTTCTTCAGAAAACTGGAAATGGATCTACTTCAAGACCCAGATATATCACTCCTTGGTATATACTCAGAGAATACTTCATCCTACCATAAAGATACTTGGTTGACTATGTTCATAGTGGCTTTCTCATAACATCTAGAAACTGTAAACAACCTAGAATCCTTCATCTGAAAAATGGATAAAGAAAATGTGGTCCATTTATACAATTGACTATTACTTAGCTGTTAAAAAAAATGTCATCATGAAATTTGCAGGCAAATGGGGGGAACTATAAAACAGCATGCTAAGTGAGGTAACCCAGATCCAAAAAGACAAACATGTGCTCACTTCTAAGCAGAATTATCTGTTAAGTATATGATAACCATGATGAAACCAACAGGCCCAGAAAGGCTAGGTAACAAGGAAGTCTCTAAGGGGATCTCCCTTGAAAGGGGAAATAGAGTAGAATTTGTGGGTGGACTGGGGGCAGGTTGGGATGGTAAGAAGGACAATCAGGTGGAAGGGATAGAAGAGAGTAAGGTGAGAGTTGACTGAAATTGGAGGGCAGTGGGGGGCAATGTGTAATCAATCCTAGTGCTGTAGACCCTAGCAATGACTCCTAGTAACAGAGAATGAGGAGCCTGAACCAACCATCTTCTGTAACCAGGCTAGGCTCACAGTGGTGAACTGGGACACCAATCCAGCAACAAAACCTTCAACCTTCAATCTATCCTACCTGGTGGGGGCAATGGGGATACTGACTTTTGTGGGAATGGCCACCCTATGACTGGTCTAATTTGAGACCCATGCCACAAAAGTGTACTCATGCTCGATACTACCTGGATAACCAGGAGTCAGAGTCTGAACGGCCCAGAGATATAGGACAGAAAAAAGTGATTCCTAATGATATTATGTTATACTCAGACCTGTGCCCAGTCCAGTCATCATCAGAGAGGCTTCCTCCAGCAGCTGATGGGAGCAGACAAAAATACCCACAGCTGAACATTAGGAGGAGCTCCAGGAACCCCATAGAAGAGGGGAAGGGAAGACTGAAGGTGCCAAAGGGGTCCAGGGTAACATGAGAACATAGCCCACAGAATCAACTAAGCAGGACTCATAGGGGCTCATAGAGACTGAAGTGTCAGCAA